TCCTTGATGAACTTTTCCCTGCTGCCCATAGAGCTGACAGAATTTGCCACAGGTGTCTCAACCACCTGGTGCAGCAGCTGAGGGTTGAATATGGAGACTGTGCCCTACATCAAGTCCCCATCAAAATGGACAGAGATGAGATCCAGGCACAGTTAAAGGTCATTTTCTGATTATTTTATGTTGCTACTTCTGGTACTTAGAGAGTGATATACTGATTATATTATGACAACATCCATTGTGTTAAAAAAAAAAATTAAAGCCAGGGCCAGTGAGATGGCTCAAGGGCTACGGGCACCAGCCACCACGCCTGACAACGCAACTAGTTAGTCCTGTGTCCCTACTCCCTAGAACCAACAAGCTAAAGAGAAAATCGCTCCCACAGGTTGTCCTCTGACCTCCATATGCACACACGCATGCACACACAAGTAAAAAAATACATAAAAAAAATTAAGAACATTTGCCAGTGATTTTGACAGGATACTCTCTAAGTGCCTGCCCCACATTCTTTCCTCAGTTCATCCCCACCCCAGACTTTATCGGTAGCTGACACACTGACTTAATGTATATTCATTTTTGTGTACCGATCACTCCTACAGCAGCATGTAAGATTCCCCAGAGGTTTTAGTTAGCTGTGCTCACAGCTGAGTTTCCTCCCTTTGCCTCATAAGAACAAACAGTTCATGTTTGTTGAGTTAGTGGAGGAGACTATGGGGGATGAGGAGGCACCGACCTCTTATAGTTTTGGCACAATTGCTTTGGCACAATTTTTCAGTCTGTTCCTTCCTTATTCTGGCTGTCCTTGCCCTAGGCTTACTTAGGTCTAGTAAGTTTTAACCAGTATATCATTGAGAATGCTTTCTGGTTATTTCCTTGAGAGGCTTAATTTAGGTGTTCTTCCTTTTATCCTCTTCAAAATGCCAACGACAGGGCTGGCCATGTAAGGGGTGGTCGGGTGCCTGCCCAGCATGTGAAAAGCTTTGGGCTTCTTCTCCTACAACACAAAAAGGGAGAGGGTGGATGAAGGGCCAGGCCTTTCCCTACAAACATTCTAGCTTTCCTTTATATTGGCTCACTGAACTGGAAATGTTTAGGTTCTGGATCATGTGTATCTAAGCATTTAATTGTGGTTGCGCCTAAATATCTTACTATGACTTAACGTAAATTTATGAAAAATGACCAAGGTCCTGTCCATGCATAATTCTTTTAACAAGATTTGAATTTGAATTATGTCACTAAAAATTGTCTTATTTTAAAAAGGATGAGGACCATGAAAGTTACAATCTTGTAAATAAAGTAACTTTTTAACAATTGCGTCTTATTTGCAGGAAAGATGTGAAAACACAAGGCCCCACTGGGAGTCGAACCCAGGATCTCCTGTTTACGAGACAGGCGCTTTAACCAGCTAAGCCATGGAGCCACATGGCAGCAGGTATGAAAGATGGGTGAATCTATCCCATTTTATTTCTATTTGATGAGGAAAAAATAGCTTCTGCTATATGGTGATGCCTGTTTTCGTCATAGAAGAATCAGCTGTGAAAAGATGCTGCATTTTCTATAGTCAAGCTGAAAACATCAAACACAAAAACTCCCAGTGTCAGATATTTTCCTCTTATCACAAAGATAGTCATTTCACAAAAAAAGAAATCCGGCTATGAAGTGACAATGGCCAGCTACGATAAAGTCGATAAACGTGTAGGCGCGGCGCTTGTGCGTGCTGTGTGAGTCTTTGGCCTCTACAAAGAGCTATAAAAAGTAAATCATATGCAGCGTTTTCGCTTGCTAGAATTACTGGCGACTGAGTTTAAAGGCGATCTTTAGCTACAGGTGTCTGCAGGTTTATGCCCTCTTTGAACCTCGTAAGATCGATTTCAGGGACCGTAAAGACGTTCTCACTCAGAGCCTCTGGAGCAAGGGTTTGGGGAGGCTGGAGCCCGCACTCTGGACACAGCGCGCACCGGAAACCGCTTGTTTTCTTGGGAGTGGAGGTGGAGGGTTGTGGTCATACTGGGAAGCTGGCGGGTGCTGGGACTGTTGGGGGCGGAGAGGAGGGAGTTGGGGTAGAGGAGGGGCCTTAGGAACTAACCTGCCAGGCCACAGGGATGGGGCAGGCAGGGCCCATCTTCCCAGGACTGGGGAGGACTTCAAGAGTCCCATAAAATGCAAACGGGTTCCAAATCGAAGTGTGGGGATTAAATGCTACCCAAAAACGCCTTCGGCAAAAGGTTTTCATCCTAAGGATTTTATAATATCAAGTAGAACACGGATTCCCAATACGTACAGTTAGTTGAAAGGCTGGGGTGTGGGGGGGGGGGGGAGCTGCTCTTATTAAAAATAACAAATTCTGTGGTGGTGTACACCTGCAATGCCAACACTCGGAAGACTGAGGCAGGAGAATTGCCTTGAGCCGGAGGCCAACCTGGTTTACCTAGCAAGCCTCTGCTTTAAAAATAAACAACCCCCAAACGCAGACTGCAAAGTGCAGCAGGAACTTGGAACTGGGACTGAAGGGACAGGTATGGGCTCAGGACCCCAGGACCAAGTTCTCAGCACAAAGGAGATTTATTTGCCCCAGAGAAACAAAGGTCCTGGAATAAGAAACAAAGACAGGAGACGGAGGACGAGGCAGGAGGAGGGAAAGGATGTTGGGGGTGGGGTGAGGCAAAGAATTGCCTCAGAATAGAAAGGACACGGGCACAGGAGGTTTATAAAGACACAGCAGGCAAATGGAGGTTTAAAAAGACAAAAGGAGAAACCCTGTGTTAGGATAAGGTGTTTAATTTTGATTGAGCATCTTAATTAGGGTAACCAAAAGGGAGCATCTGATTGTTGGACTTCAATAATTTGATAGATGGACCTTGGTAGTCTGCCTTGGGAGGAGGAAGTGGCCTAATAAGGGACTAGACCTTGGTGACTAGCTTTAGGAATATAATCCGACGCGTTTTAGCAGGGCAGAGGGAATGGTGAAGGGAAAGGCCTGCCAGAGCTATGGTTGCCATGCTCAATCTGGCTAGAGTCCCTCCCAGGACTAAGTGAGGTCATTGTCCCAGAACCTGGTTCTCTGAGTGAGGACCCTCATGAAAGATTTTTATGACGCTGACCTTCCATTAGGTTGTGAGCAATCGCAACTTACGATTACACCATAGGTTGTGGGAAAGTCTGGCTTAAGAAAATTGCTCCAGCAAAAATACTTAATTGTGATGATAAGTAAGAGTTATATAGATATTCTGAGCATTGCAACTTGTCAGAGTGCCTCGGACACGCCAGTTTGCCCCTTTCTAGGTAATATGCATAGTTTCCCTCCAGAACTAAGAACCGTCATAGAAATTGGCTGAGTAGTGAAATGGGATTTTTTTTCCCTTTTGTTACTTTTTATAAAAACTTTTACAGTTTTCTATGCTCACTATCATTCGGTTCCATATCACAAACCGACTCTCACACCTCACACAGTGGGAACATTTCTGCTTCTGCTTCCCCCAGCTTTGGCTGCATTATGATTTGGATATGTAATGTTCAGTACAGACTCATGACTTTCAACACTTGATCCTCAGCTGATGGTGACTTTGGGGTAGGCTGTGGTACCTTTAGGATGTAAGTGACTTCAGGGCAGGTTGTATGGGGTACAGCTTGTCCTGCTGAACTCTCAGTAATTACCTCATACTTTTGCTGCCAGAAAAACATCGCAAGCTGTCGGATTCATCATCAATGAGGAACCAAAGCAAGTCCTCCCTCCCTGATGTGGCTTTTGTATTTGGCCACACAGGCAAGAAAATTAACTAATCTAGGTTCCTCAGAACAGCGTTAATTTTCCCTAGATCAGAGGCTGAGCATCTGTGTTCTCTAGAGCAGCAGCAGACCTGAGACCTCAGAGATTCTCAGGCACAGAGTACGTGGGCTGTGACGAGCCCAGGTTCCCGGTTGCTAGAAGATTTTCAGGGCACCTCCAAGCCCTAAGAGTCAAGTGTCCCAAATTCCTAGACCCAGATGTTGTAACGTTAGCTGCTGTAGGAAAAGGGGGCTTGCCCAGCTGTCTTGAAAGCTGGAACACTAGCTCTGCGATCCCAAGATACCTAAGGCTTAGAAGCAGCAGAACTGGCTGGTACAATCACCACCAGCTCCTGATAAGGGCAGAAGATTACAATTAGTGGCAAGCAAGTTACAGAGTAATAAGCACCCACCCTAAACGCTGGGAGCATAAGTCTCTGCACTGTGGAACCCATCGCCATAAGCCTGTAGTGTTCTAGACTTGTAGCTATAACAAGCCCTGGGGCCTGACACTAGACCATAATCCCCATAACACTCAAGGGCCAAAACTACAGACACCAGAAAAGCTACTTTTCCTGCTTCGGTTTTCCATCTGAACAGAACAGAGTACATTAGTCAGCTGACCGCTAACGGTGGGGCTTTCCGTAGGGCTTTTGCACCTCGATAGAGATCAGGTTTTGTTGCTTTTGGACATTTTGTTCTGTTTATGTGCTTTCAGATTTTAACTGTAAGTTTGAACCAATTTTATAAACAGAAATGAGAGAGGAGGGAGGGGAGGAGGGAGAGGAAGAGAGAAAGAGATTCAAGAAACAAGAAGTCCTCTTTTATTGGGACTTGGAGGGCTGGGCTGAATGACCAGAACAGGAGGCACAGAGAGGTCTGGCTCCAAAGAGTCTATGAGCTGGGTGGGACTGCATCCCTGTGTTCCTAGATATTTGAGAGGCTGAGACAGAAGGATTGGAAACTCAAGGCCAGCCTGGGCTACATAGATAGGTCTGTGCTTTAGGTCTGAGCAGCAAGGTGTCTGCAGCACCACCTGGTGCTTTTAGTAGTACCAAGGAAGATTCTAGAACACTTCTGAGAATACCAGAATGTGGAAGATGTAAGTGGTGAGGTCAAGAAAGCACATAATAGGGGCTGAGAAACATCACTCGGAGTCCACTGCTGCGGGGTCTTTGATTATTTATTATTGATCATTATCTTGAGACAGCGGTCACAGGAATGAATTTAAAGATGTGAAGAGTCAGGGTGAGAGCAAAGTACATCATTTGGTGTGAAAGACATCCATGGCCAGGAACCCAGACCGGAGTACACTAACAGGAAGGCACCCAGGAAGGTTCTGGTCAGGTATTATCCAGAGGGGCCCTGGGGCCTACTGGGGTGGAGATGACCCTTCCTTCATGCCAGGTGAGGTTCCTGCTCTCAGCCTTCAGCATCCCCTAAGAAAACTCCAAGGTCACCACCAAGGGGACTAGACAGAAGAAGAGCTTGACAAAGCATCCCCAGCTTGGGAGGAGAGGAGGCTGGGAAGGGAGCCCAGAGGATCTTGCTACCCATTTCCACTTCCTTTAACTCACTGGGACAGTGACTGATAGATTAGGACCCTTGCGGGGTTGGGTTTTTTTAGGTGGATAGGATTGTCTGGATCATCAACTCTAAAATATGACTTCCTTTTGGAATAGTTTAGGAGAACTTGATATAGCGGAGCCTGATATTTGGGTTAATAGATTTTCTTTTTCTTAATTTTCAATGCATGTGCTTGCCTACCAGAACGGCACTTCTGTATACAGTCATACAGAGCTGTTTATACAAGCATTAGTAGGGACCTAGGCAGTGCTGCAGGCTTTGGTCATACGGAGGCTGGAGAAGGAGTGGAGCAAAGGCATTGTTTGTAAGGCATATCCTAGTGGGTCTGGGTTTGGTTTAGGTACTCCATGATGTCTGATTGGACAGCGCTGACAGGAGTGTGGTGGAACCAGCGCATGACAGGCACCCCATCGGACCCCACCAGGAACTTCTCGAAGTTCCAGCGTATGTCATGGACCTTCATGGGATTCCAGAAGAGATATTCCGAAGAACCCAACAGTTCAGAGGTGGGAGGACAGGAGTTCTAGAGCAGAGATATGAAAAATGGAAAGATGAAAAGATGATCTCGTTTCCGCTTCTGTGTTGTCCAGCCTCCTCTCCGCTGCTATAAAGCTTAATGTTTTAAGCCCCACATGCTTCCATCCCCTCCCAGACCTACCAGGATACTACTACCAGCACCCCAAGGCCGTTCTCACCAGGGTGGAAAGTGTGGCAGTCGGTGAACAGCACCTCACTTTCCTGACTCTCCTCTAGTCTCATGAATTCTAGTCATGAGGAAAAGAATACCTTCAGCCATGCATGATGGTGCACACCTTTAATCCCAAGCACTCGGGAGGCAGAGGCAGGCAGGCAGACTTCTGAGTATAAGCCAGCCTGCTCTACACAGTGAGTTCCAGAACAGCCAGGGCTACACAGAAGAATCTGTTTCTTTCAGCAAGTCCTGATTTCTATGGTTTCGGCTCCCGTAGGTGAAAACTAATGAGTTGGCTGTAGAGCAGGAGCTCCCAGACTTTGGGACTTCATAAGCCAGAAGCTCAATAGCTGTTTTGACAATGAGGACATTAAAAATCTGCTGTAACTATAAATAGAAATCTTAAGACATTTTATTTACTTCCCTTTTCTTTAGATTTATCTTATTTTTAAAATGTATGTACATATATGTATATCTCAAGTGGGTATGTACACCTGTGAGTAAAAGGCCAACAAAATTCAGAACAGGGTGTTGGATGCCTGGCTGAACAAGTGATTGTAAGCTGCATAGATGTAGGCTCTGGGGACTGATCTGGAAGATCAGTGTATGTTCTCAACTGCTGAGCCGTCCCTCCAGTTCCAAACTATTTATTTGTTTTTTAATTAGTTTCACTCAAGAGCCCAAGTTGGTCTGAAACTCAGGGTGTAACCCAAGTTGACTGTGAACTCAGTTTCCCAAACACGGGGATTTCAGGCGTGAGTCACCACATCAGACCGGACTTTTAATTATTAATCAGCTGTGTATGAATAATATCACTGTTTGTTTTAAGACAGGGCCTTGTTGGGACTAGAGAGATGGCTCGGTGGTCAAGAGCACTGGCTGCTCTTTCAGAGGACCCGAGTTCAATTCCCAGTACCCACATGGCAGCTCACAACTGTCTGTAACCCCAGTTTCAGGGGATCTGAAACCTTTACACCAATGCACATAAAATAAAGTTATTAAAAAAAAAGACAGGGCCTTGTTATGTAACTGACTTCCCTGGACTATTTGGACTAAGTTATCCTGAATTCGCAGCCATCCCCCTGCCTTTGAATCCTGAGTACTGGCATTATAAGCATGAGCCACCAAGTTTTGTCATGGACATCTTCTGTTATGTGGTATAACCTACCGATAACATAAATATCCATTATTTATTGGAATAAATAATTATCTTTTGTATTTAATAAGTAGATTTTTTGTTTCAGTTTGCTGTGGATGAGTGAAAGTATCCATAGGGACAGCTTTGTTCTGCAGCCCACCCTATGGGGACAAGTGACTAAATGATCCTTGTTGGGAAGGTTCTTTGTACCTGCTGTTCTGCAGTTATAATACTCTGTGATTCTTCTCTCTTGGCACTCTCTTTTTATCTACCTCTATGTCATCTCCTGACTTTACAATAGTTCCTTCAGATAAGAGACTAATCTACTAATAACTGTTAATGTGTATCTCATAGTTTCTTGAACAAAGTAGGGATTTGATTAATGATTATAGAATAAACAGATCATTAGCGGTCAGCAGGGGAGGTTAATCCACATCAGAACAACCATGTGTATTTCCTCTGCTTGAAGCCAAGGCCTCATGACTGTGAATGGACTCCTTAAGGAGTCCCATCCCATCGTAGACACCAGCCCCATTGCTTCCAGAAAATCCTAGCTGATTGATCTATGCTGTTTGTTTACCCACCTTTAGGAAAGAAAAAATCTTTTGTTCGTTTTCTCCGTTCACATCCCCCTTCTCAAAGAGCTGGAAATTAGGGACATAGCCACCGCCTGGTCGCACATATCTGCAGAGAAACAAGGTGTTTTCAAGAGAATCCAAATTAAATCAAGGAAGGTTAGGACTGGTCACCAATTGTCCTCACAAAGGAATGGAAAGGACTGTATAAAAAGAGAGGAGGAAGAGGGGTCTCTGGGATCAGGACTCCAAGTAGGAGGCTTCATAGAATCAGAGAATTCCAAGACACTGGGGAGGGGATACTTTGACCCCAGATTTCCTGGCCCATCTCCATTTCCTATGTGCCCTTCTTTCCCCTGAATGTCTCTTCCGTAGATTTTCCCTATTCTCATCCTCAAAGAAGCCAAATGTGGAGAGAGAACTTGGGCATTTCCTGAGGGCTACTTGGAATTCAAGGCATCATGATGGCATTCTTCAATCCATTGTTCCATCACCTACCTAGTGAGAAGATTCTGGAACATGAAGGTATATAGGCAGATGTGAAAAGGGCATCCCTAGGTCCCCACATAGTACTCACTTGAGTCCAAGGAGGATCTCTGAATTTTTTCCAGGTTCTTGTTTTCCAAACTGGTTGCAAGGAAAGCCCAAAACGATGACATTGAAGCGCTCCAGCTCCTCCTGCAGTTTGTTCAGTTCTGTAAGCAGAGGGTGAGCGCCATGGGCAGACTCCCTGAACAAGACCCAAAGGACCACAAGGTTCACCCTCTCATCACGTGAATACACTGGAGACTATGAAAAGCTACTGACGTTGAATAATAGGCAGCGCAAGCAGCTATAACCCAGGTCTCTGGGAACTTTCTCAGTGGCTGCTGATCTTGAGGCACAGGGTCCCCTAAATCTCATTGCTCTTCACCGTGCATACAGAGAGTTTATTTAAAGCAAATAGACATGGACTTATTAGACTTACGAGAAAACCTGCTTGATTCTGAAAGGAGGCTGGCCTCAGAGTGCATTGTCTTTGTTACCCAGGTGGATAGGTTGACCAGATGTTTTATGGGTGGATAGGTTGACCAGATGTTTTATGAGGAAAAGGCAAATGGGAATTCTCCTGTCCTCCCACCATGTCTCGTCATGACAACCTCTGACACTACCGTCCCTCTCCCAGAAGCACTTTTGGCTGTTGCATGTTAGAAGTAACAGAAGAATAAGAAAATCAGAGTCTGGCTGCAGTGCTCACCTATAATCTCAGCACTGGGGAGATGGAGGCAGGGGGATGGCCATAAGTCATAGGTCAGCCTGACCCACATAGTGAGTTCCAGGCCAACCAAATCTACATAGTTAGACACTGCCTTAAAGAAGAGAGAAAAATCCAAACATGGCTACATGGTATTCTCTACCCTGACCTCAATGCCAATTAGCTAACACTGTATCCACTTCCTTAGGCTCTAGGCCACAGTGTGAACTGTACTTCCTACACCAAGAGTCTCTTATGGGTCTGCTCAGACTTGTGTCCCTGCTCTGTCTTCAGTCCTTTGCAGTTTGGAGTTACTCCTCAGAACCAGCCACTAACCTCATCTAGGCTCAGCGCTGCCTGCTGGCGTCTCCCCTGAGAACCTCTGCCTAGAGGAGAGTGCCTTTGAGTTTTAATATGTTTCTTGTATATTTTATGTGAAATATATATTTAATAAATGTAATATACAATTTATTTTGAGACAGAATTTCGAATTTAGTTTGAGACGTCTTCCAGCTCACTCTGTAGCCAAGGATGACCTTGCACTTCTGACCCTTCCTCTTCCCAGTGCTGGGATTAGCGACCTGCAGCACCATCCTTGGTTATGTGTTACTGCTCTTCCAGAGGACTGGGGTTCGGTTCCCAGTACTTAACACTGCATCTCACAACTGTCTGCAACTCCATTGCACTATACATCAATTCAAGTTGTATTTAGGAAGCAGAAAATTCTGGGATTTGTAATTATATTAGTTGCATTAAAACAAATTGATAGAGTGTAACAGCATTGTTCACAAGTATAATCCAAGCACTTGGGGGGCAGAGAAAGAAGAATCATGAATCTGAAAAAGTGAGATCCTATCTCGAAAATTATTTTTGAATAGCGCCTGATATTTTTGAATAGTCAAGTAGGTGACAATGTCAATATATGGAATTTGTAAAAACTTATTTCTGTATTATTTTGGCCCATTTGTCTGTAGGATATGATTCAATAAACCTTTCAAATTTGTTGTGAATATTCTTAAAATAATAATGTTCTTAGCATGTCAAAGATTATATCTAACACTTGTACAATTCATGTAGAAGTTTATATGACCTTATCTGTTTTTTGTTTGTTTGTTTGTCTGAGACAGGGTTTTTCAATATAGCTTTCAATGTAGGACCAATCCCAGGACTTTGTGTATGCTAGATAAGCATTCTGCCAACTGGGCCACATCTCTAGCACATAATCTGTATTCTGACTCCCCATTTTACTCCGTTTAATGCAAACCAATCTCCTCTATTCTAGGTTCTGGCCTGGAAGTCACAGGGAGGATTTAGTGTTCTATCAATCAACTCTTCAGAACACCAACATCACCGTATGCAAACATGATCAGCCATAACCAACCAAGAATGCTCCCCAATCATGTCTAAACACACACACACATACACACATACACAAACACAGTCTAAACCACAAAATGACTACTTGCCACCCTGCCAATATAAATGAACACAACTGTTTTACCAGTTAGAGTCTCAGCCTGTCTGTTTCTCTCACCATATAGATACGATTTCTTAAGATAACCAGTCACATAATTGCCCCTTCTTTATTTCCTGACAGCCTCTAATCCACAGCGAAGGTCCGGCTTCTTGAATCTTTCCCCACACTACTTGACGCCAGCTCAGATGGCCTGAATGCTTTCTGTCCCTTTCTGAGAAGCCTTCATGTTTGCCTTTGGCATATGGACAACTCCGGCTTGTTCAGCCACCGATGCATTCTTAGTGGTCCTCCAGCCTATCCTGGTGAAAACCTTTGTGCTTAGTGGAGATAGTTGTGGCATGAGAAGCAGCAGAATGGCAAGATTTAGGGGACTAGAGTCAGTGTGCTTATTCATTCCCCGATCCCAGCAGCGCAGGGAAACCGTCTCCAGTCACGATATGGTGATGTGACAAGCTAGTTCTGAGAGAGAATTGCAATCTGAGTTCTTACCAGGGTAAGTGGCCGTCAGACCGCAGAAGGACGCCACGTTGACAAAGAGGACATGCTTCCCTGCGTACTGCTGGAACTGAACGTACTCGCCGCCATCCAGGGTCTTGGCTCCGTACTCATAGATGGTGCCGTTCACCCCCTTGTTGCAGTCCACCTGCAATACAACACACGCAACTGTGGCGGTTTGGCCTAGCAAGCGATAATCCTCCACACCGGCCAGCATTTTCCAAACACTTGAAGACTTTTTTTCACCCTGTAACTTAAAATTGTAAGAACTGAAGAATTTCTGTTTGAGGAACTCCACACCCAAGCAGGCATTGGTGGTGAGCACAGACCTGGGTGCTTCTAGAGGGTGCCCTCTCCAGTGGGCCATGACATCACTTGATAGACGGCAACCTGGGACTTTACAGCTGCCAATCAGAATTTTACATGCCTCCTTACCCTCCACCTCCCCAATAACAGAGGTCAAAGCTCAAAGGTCAGAGGTAAGGACTTACATAGGTCTCATGAGAGCATTTTAGAAATGTTTGGACTCTCAAGAACATACTGGATCAAAAGCTCTAGCCATGGGACCCAGTCACCAGTGGGTCTGGGAATTACTGTGCTCTGTGATGAGATTATTCCTTGCCTTTTACGGAAGGGAGTGGGAGCTGGCAAAAGATATATAAGTAGCTGAAAGCCATAAATGAGGTTGAGGTTTTCAACGAGTTTCTCTGATATTAAAGTTAAAATATGTTGGTTTCTTAAGTCATCCCCACTCGCCCTATTCTGTCTCCTAAGACTCATGCATGCATTTTTAAAAAAAAAAAAAAAATAGGGATGGACGCTGACTCCCCATGTGGACACTTTTGATTACTAGTACCTCTTTATGGCTCCTTGTGAGGATTTTTGGCTACTGCCCCACAGTGTGATCCGTTCCC